AGCACCATGTCTGCCTGCACACTGCCATACTTCCTGCCATGATGATAATGGACTAAACCTGTGAACGGTAAGCCACCTCCATTAAATGTTTTCCTTTATAAGAGTTTCTGTTTCTGTAGTCATGGTGTCTCTTCACAGAAACCCTAACTAAGACAGTATTTAATTTCATTGTTCTAGTATGAAGATTTTTTTCTCTTTTCTTTGATCACTGGCATGAGACTTTTGTTAAGAAGTGGCCCCTGAGCCCCATTATCCTCAATAATTAGAATAATAAGATGTACCAGATTCCGTTAAACAGACTGGAGAGTGCCACTCTCTGCGCTACTAGGAAAACTCTTTGTTTATTTATTTTTTCAATGACAGAAAGGACCATCAAGTAATGATATGCAGGTAGAATACTCAGACAATTGCCCTCGGCAAACATGTAGCTCACCCTGTATGCCACGGAGAGCATGCTGAGAAATTTCCAAATCTTTGCAAAATTTGTACCCCCCAAAAAATGCTTCATGGACTGGTAAGGGCTTCCTCCTCTCCACCCTCCAAATTCCCATTCAGTAGGTGTAGATGGTGACCAGGAATATGCAAATGAATAGTTCCCAGGTGACAATGATCTTGGTCAGAGCTGGGAACTGGGCCACAGACCGCGGGAATGAAATGGTGATTATCTGTAATTTCAGTGAATAGGTGTGTCTGCCCAGAGCAGAGAGGCAGAACCACCAACCTATTCCTACCGGTTTTTTAAGGAAATACTTTACAAAGCCTCACTCCACTTCTACTCTGGACAACTGCATATACACATATATACCTATCCATGTAAAACTAATTAATTTCACCTGGAATTTCTCAGCCATTCCTGAAAAGCCAGCTTCAGTTTAAAACTGTGTGGAATGTGTCTGCACACACACCATATATGCTACATGAGTGCACATGAATGTGTGTGGTGTGTACTTATGTGTACAAAGCCTTAGAAACACTCTAGATATTCTTGATGGTGTGACAGAGTAACACAGACCCTAGAGAGCCTAAAGAATTAAAGTATGTATTCCAGGTACAATGACATTTCATGTCCCCCGGTTTTCTCACAACGTCTGTCTCTGTCAGATAAAACAGTCCATTGACTAAAAATGTCAATAAACTCAGGCTTTAAATCACGCATATGCTAAATGCTCTATCCTTTCATTGAGGAAATAGTACATTAACTCCAAAAAGAGATGTTGGAATACCGAACGCACTTCGGGTTTTGATTAGCTTTCACAGTATTTTTGGTTTTGCTTGTTTTTTTTTTCAAGGCAGGATTTCTCTGTGTAACAGCTGTGGCTATCTTGGAACTCACTCTGTAGACCAGGCTAGCCTAGAACTCAGAGAAATCCACCATCTCTGCCTCCTGAGCACTGGGATTATAAACACTGTCACTACTGTTTGGCCACAGTGTTACATTTTCTACCTAAGTAAAGCATGCTAACATTTTTAGATCTATTTTCTTCCATTTAAAAATAAAATTTGAAATTATATACAATTATATCATTTCATCGCTCTCCCTGTCCTCCCTCAAACCCTCTTTATGTCCATCCCTGCTTGCTTCCTCTCAAATTCCCAGCCTCTTTTGATTTAATTGTTATTATGTGTATACACATAAATTGAATGAAGTCATGTCACTTGAGCTGACAATGCCCTCCCTGCATGCCAGGGTCAAGAACCATGGACTATAGACTTATTTTAAAAACCTCAGCTCCTTTAGGGAGATACAGTCCTAGGAAATACTGTGAAGTTTTGAGTGGTCAAGAAACCAGACTTCCTTCAGAGATGAGATGACGGATGCTCATTCTAAGAACCCCAAAGGCCTTCTGTCTCTGCCACCTCTGGCCATGTCCTCATTGGCTGAACACTTTCTACCATTTTTGTCACTGTGGCCAGGGGAAGAGCCTAGGCCCAGGGTTGCAGTTCACTGAGTACATGCCCCTGTTATAATACCAGACTGTACCCTCCCTCTTCAGCAATAGATTCTTAACATGTCACCTAGAGCAGTTTCAGCAACAGAGAAAAGGGGGGCTAATTCTCTTGCTTCCCTGGGCTAATGACAATGTTTGGCTGAAAGTTATGGCTCTTTAGCAAAGTCTTCTTCCTGTTGTGAAAAGTCTTAACAAGGAACTTAACCAAAACAACTTCATCAGTGAAAAACAATGTGAGTCTGTTCAGGGTGATGAAATGATGCCCTGTCTAAATATTACCCAGAACCTCTTCTTTCTGTTTAGAAAAAGTAATCCAGCTCTCATTTCAATTGTGATCTGTTTTTAAACTTTCTGTTACGGTCTTTTTTTACCCCACATGTTAGCTTATCTCAGATGTGTTCTATGAGTGTGGGGGAACAACTTCTCTGCAGGCTCAGAGACAACTATTCACACACACACACACACACACACACACACACACACCCGTGGAGGACCTAGAGAAATGAGGCATTGGGGGACCACTGGGCTGGTCTGAGAGCAACAGAGACATAAGTACAGGCTACAAAGCAAAGAGGCAGAGGGCAGGGGTGGGGGAGAGAGACAAGAGCTATGAGGCAGGAAGCAGACCAGTCACAGTTGGGCAGGGAATTACAAGATCACATTGTGTGGCAAAACCATTGCATTCCCGAAGGAGCCTGGTAAGTCTATGGCCAGATGGGATAATTTGTCTTACCCCATGACCCAGACTGTGGAATGCCAGGAACACATTTTCTGACTGGCTTTAAGCCAAGTCATCTCTTGCTTTTCTCATGTATCCTAGGGTGTCCCATTCACAGGCTGGTTCTAAACCATCAGAGTAGGTTGACACTTTAGCTGTGACTGGTATGTCCAGGGATACCCCTGGCTCTCTATGGATTTATAAGACAAAAGTAGGATTGGTAGCAAGGGCCCAAGTTATATAATGTGGTCTCTCTGTTAGGGCTGATCTGAATTTACCAAAGTAAAACTGCTTTTTCCCTCACTGAGGTCATCTAGAATTTAATAGGAGCCCTGGAGCCCTGATGAAATCACAGATGTGATTTAATGTCTGGCATGATCCAGCATCTACAACAGTGATTGAGAGGTGACAGGGACATGGGAAGATGAACTTTTATACTCTAAAGCCAAGTTCACATGTCAAGAGGGAACTATAGGGACAGGAACCTTGAATCCATTGGGTCACTCCCACTGACAGCAAATGAAGTAATTGTGCCAACTTGGCCTATTGGACAGGTTGACTCCAATACACTAATAGGTGACAGTCCATCACTGTTTTCTTCTACCCACAATCAAAGAAGTGCTCAGCAAATTTAGGGTGGTGGTGGTGGTGGCAACAGATTCGCTCTGAGGGTTGCTAGTGATAGGCCAGTGAATCTGAAGACTTAATGTAGCTAAGTTGCCAGTGCTTCCCAAATTAATCTATCAGCTAAATCCCACTACATTTCTATCTTGCTTATTTGCAGAAACTGGTATGTCAATGCTAAATGCCATATGGAAATTCAAGAGATCCAGCATGGTTGAGACAAACACAGAAGGGAGCAAGAGTGGAATGCTCACCCTTCTCCCAAATTAAAACCTCCTACACAGCCATCATAATCAAGCAAGAATTGTACTGGTGTGAGGGCAAGTGTACAGAACAATGGAATTGACTAGAACATCCAGAAATAAGCTTCACACCTCTGGGAAATTGACTTCTGGCTAGGCAGATAAGACAGTCAATGGGGGAAAGAATAGTTTTCAAAATACCATGCTGAGACCACTGGTTTTAGGTGAAGTTTGACCCCCTGATCATAACATATGGTAATACATAAAAGATTAACTCAAAGTGAGTCAAAAACCTAAGTATAAATGTTTTACAAACTTTAGAAGGCAACATAGGAATAAATCCTGTTTTAAGCGATGATTTCTTAGCATTGGTACAAAAAGCACAATGGAACAACATTTTAAAATTAGACAAGGTAGACTTTATCAGAATAAAAACTTCTGCTGAGAAGAAATATAATGAGAAGAGCAGGAAAAAAAGAACAGAACATGGGAAGTAATGCTTGCAAATCACATCTGGTAAAGAAAATTTATATGATGTGGTCTTAGAATTCAATGGTATAAAGAAAAACAACTCAGTTAAAAATTAATGAAGGACCTAAGTAGATATTTATAGCAAGAAGATTTACAGCTGGCCAATAAATAAACAGATGATATGTCCTCAGCATCATCAGCCACAAGAGGACCACAAGGCAAAACCTCAAAGAGGTTCCACTTCACAGCCATGGAAATGGATGTCACCCAAAAGATAGATGTATGGCAGAGGTAAAGACATGCTCAGATGCTGCTGGTGGGGATGTAAACTGGTCCTACAAGAAGAACACTGTTCTTGCTCATGATTTACAGACTTTGAAGATGGCACTAAATGCCCAAGCAGACCTGTACATCATGAGTAAAGACATCTCTCTTCTTCTGGGACCATGATTCACCTGATAAGCTTCCTGGTGAACTCATGAAGCCATATAAATATGGAGGAGTTTCTGCCCCATGGTTAGAAATTTTGTGCTCAATCATAACATGGATTGGCCATGACTCAAACTTCTAAGGAAGATAAGGTTTTTTAACTTTTACTTCTGGGAAAGAGATTTAATATTTGTATATGAACCATATCAGTAGTAGTTAATGGTTTTATCTCTGTGATGATTCTAATTATAGCCTTGGAACTTACTTTAAATTCTCTCTCTCAGTACTCAAAACATGTCACAGGAAATCTTGCTGGCCTACCTGCTATCAATGGGATCTTGTATTAAGTTCAATGAAACTGACATCCCTTGGTTACTAATTAAACACATCAAACACATAACATTTCATGGACAAAAATGTGTCTACTTGCTAGGGACTTTACTGTATTTTATTTTTTCCTGAAAGAAAAATGACCTGTGTGTGTTTCTTTGAAGGAATAAGAAACACCACTGAATGCTAAAGCATTGGTTATTTTTTTTTTTTCAAACACTGGCACTAAGCTCGTACCTGACCATCCTGGGAGGCAGCGGCAGTGGCCTGTGGTAGGGTGGCAGCCATCTGCATGGCTACAGTCACAGCGCTCAGCACAGTTTAGTCCATATGTGCCATCCTGCAAGGAAGAGAGCATCACAGCCACCAATGACAAATCTAAGTATTCCCACGACAATAAACAAGGGCCCAGAAATATTTCCTATGAACATGAGTCACATGACCTCTCCCATGATGCAAAATGCAAGCTTGAGGGTCAGCATTTTAAAATCACCTCAACTCTAACTTAAGTTTGATGCAATAGTTGGGAGATGTGCCTGGTGAAACCAATTATGTCAACTTGTATAAAGATCTATACAGACAATAATATTAGCATTCCAATTGACTAAAAGAGCCTTTTCTTATCATTACCACACTCATAAAAATATATTCATTTGTCTCTAATTTTTCCTACAACATAGTGCAGTGTTCCCTATAATTCTCTTCCTTAGAGAAAAGGAGGCCTTTAGCCACCCAAAAAGATACACATGCACACACACACACACACACACACACACACACACACACACACACACACGATAGATAGATAGATAGATTAAATAGATGACAAGTATGGAGACACATAGATATGGACATATAGATGTCACACACACCCACTCATACATATGAAATTAACTTAATTCAATTGTATATATAAGTATATATACATAATTATAATATGCACTGTATATATTATATAATTACATATGCACAATTACATTATGTACATTATCTATATTATACATAATTATATAAACAATTAAATTAAGCTCATTTCCATAAGCTGTTTTCAGTGGAATCCATGACATATTAAAGAAAACTGAAAATCTATTGCTACTGTTGAATGGTCCAATAAAGAGGGGACTCTCGGTAGATGGGCATGATCAATTCTTCATGAAGAAGAATGGAAATGTTTTTATTTGTAGGGAAGACTTATTTTTGACCCCAGATCCTAGGAAATGGTATAGGGTACTACAACCCTCTCTGTGTCACCCAAATACTAAGGAAAAGAGCCCAGTGACTGAAGGTGCGGACATGGAAGCAGCACTATCTGGCAGCGGGAGTTAGATGATGTAATTGTCTAGAATTTGGTAAGCAAAAATAAAACCACTTCTTAGGCCTCACTAATGTTTGACAGGATCGCACAGCACTTAGCTCTGCTATAACAGAAGCAAATCAGCTTACCCTGATTTACTAACACATCTAATACAAAGCAATGGACAGCTTGCACTGGGGTTTCCACTTTGTCTATGAGGAGGAGGTAAAAGACCACCTAACATAACAGCCCAAGGGAGCTTTGTTAATCTGCCCATTGGTCTGAAGAGAGACGACAAAGATAGCTTAGCTCCAAGACCCTTGGGGAGCACAGAATAACACAGGGCAGGAATCCTTTCTCTGTCGGAAATGGGTTGTATTTAACAAGAAGGATGCCCAGAAGAGAAAAAAGGCCCTGTGAAAGCCCTGTCTCTGGAATGGCCCAATTCAGGGGGGTCACACTGTTATCTGATAATGTCCTGGGGGAGAACACCAACCATGGTTGATAGAATGCTTGATGGGTCAAGAAGAAAGCATGATGCAAACAGCCTTGGAAAGCAAGCATGCAACAGGTCACTATAGAATTCCCTTCCCATTTCATCCTCAACTAGTCTGCAGCACCTACAGAGAAGGATTTCCCATGATGCATGTCTCCAAATTAGGTCAGGGGAACAGAGTGAGTGCTGAGGAGACTTCTGTGCCTCCAGAAATATTTACATCAGCATAGGCTGTTTCCAAACCTCCTTTATCACTTCAATGCACATTCCTGTGACACCAGCCACCGCCCCCTTTTCAGGCCCCTGTCACTTCCCACCCCAAAGCTTGCAGATTTCCATTATAATGGAAACAAAATATGTGGAGAGTTGACAGGCATACACTGGTGTTTGACCAATGCTGCTGCCTGGCTGCACCCAAGAGATGAGTGTATAAGAAATGGAAAATGCTGGAGTGGGGGGCTGGGAAAGCAGTATAGGCATAAAAGGAAGGAAGGAAAAATTCTTTAAAGCCTGCCTAACTGATTTCCACTCTACTCCTTTCTGAGCCTCTGCCCACTTCTACTCTTTTAATAGTTACTGAAGACTGGGTCACAGTCCTTCACCTTCAGCAAGGAAAAACAAACAAATAAACAAAGAGGCCAACCCTCCTGCATAGTTTTCCAGGCATGGCTACCCAGAGCACACATACCTGGCAGGCAAGTTCACATTTCTTCCCTCGCCATCCAGGAGCACAGGTACAGGTCCCATCCAGGGTGTTGCAGGCACCCCCATTGAGGCACTGGCATGTTAGGTTACAGCCAAAGCCCCAAGTGCCACTGGGGCAGCTGATGGAACAGTCTACCCCATGCCAGCCTGCATGACAAGAACGTCAGAGAGTGTGAGGATACAAAGGCGACCGGGGAGCTTTGCTGAGCCCTTCCAAGCCACATCTCCCTTTAGAGACATCTTAAAGATGCATAACAGTGCTGCCCAGCCCCAGTCACAGCAGTGGCAGACAGCCTTGGCTCTGCCACAAAAGGCCTCCACCAGAAATGAAAAGGAACCCCCGAGGAACCAAGCAGCCAACTGTGCCGTGTGATCAGTCAGGGATGCCAAAGCTGAGAAGCACCCCTGGGCTCCTGGGAAGGGATGTGGAGTGAGGTCACCTTTAATGTGCTGCGGTGCTCGGATAGAAAGATAAGCTTTGTTTATTTCTATGGGAGGAAGTAGCAGGTTTGTTCTTGGAAGAATAACCCCATCTTTGAAGCGATAGTCATTAACCATGAAAAATGTGTTTCCAAGATCCTGGCTGCATCTACAGAGGACACACTCTGGGCCACACATAAAATCTGTGCTGGCTGCATTTCTTGTCACGGCTCCAAGTCTGGCCATTTGGGGGCATAGACACATCTATTTGTTTACCCTTCCCAAAATCATGGACTCAAACTTTGAAAGCTGGCAGCAACTTCAGAGATGACCAAATATGAGTTTCTTTCCTGGACTCAGGAAGGATGAGGGATGATGAGGTCACATTGATTTCATTGGATTTAAAGCTAGAGCCCTTGTTTGTGTGTCCTTCTAGTGACTCTAGGAGGGGAGAGGACCAGGGTCTAATAAAAGATTCAGATATACATACTCTTCTTACCTGCCTTACAGACACAAGACCCATCCACAGGAGAACAGACTGCATCATTTTTACAGCCACAGTGAGAGGAACAGTTTATCCCATAGCTTCCCAGAGGACATGGAGTAGAACAGTCACTTCCCTAGATGAGCATAAACAGCAAAACACAGCTATTTTTTCCAACTGACACTATGCTAGCACAAACAAAAATATACCGTGGCAATGATAATTGTGTTTCCTGTCTAATTTTGACACTATACTTTTGAGAGTTGCTATAATCCTATACTTTATATAAATTGTACATACTCAAGTGCAACACTGGCTAGTCCATGATTATGATAAAATTATTAAATGGGACATATCCAAATCCTGCTAATTTCTTTACATCTGTCTTCATAGCAGAACAACAAAGCAAACCTTTCTCCCTTGGTTATGCAAGTAGGTATACAAAAATGAATGATAACAACTGTACAATTATTACCAACAAAAATATAAACATGAACTGTACATCATGTCTAAGTGCTTCATGGGCCTCCTTGTACACTACATAATGTTGTTAATGGTTGAATCAAAGCAATACTCAGCTAGTGGTATGATTCAGTTTTCCAGCAGTAGACACTGAACACAGAACTAAGCTACCAAAGGTGACTGAGAGACATCTCTTTTCAAAAACACAAAAGACTTTTAAGGGGAGGTTAATTCAGGTATCAGCCAAAGGATTGTGACTCTGAACAGAACACTCTAGGAAGGTTCTCTGGGCCCTAAGACTTCATCGCCCACTTTTTCAGGAGAGTTCAATGCTCTATTTACAATGGGAGAAAACAAAGCACAAGTCACCACTTGCCCTTTTCAACAGCTAAGAAAGTCCCAGGACCCCATGCCCAATTCTGCTCTCTCATACAGGAACATTTGCAGAATCTACACTCTCAAAGGAACTTCAAAACTGTGCAACTAACTGACTGTATAGTGCAAATATACCATAAATGTTCACTGAAGCATGTTGTGTCTTTAAATTCAGTGGAATTAAAATAGAAACTGTTGAAATAATAACTAGTCTGGGCAGTGATGGTGTATGCCTTTAACCCCAGCACTTGGGAGGCAGAGACAGGCAGATCTCTGTGAGTTCTAGGACAGCCCGGTCTACAAAGCAAGTTCCAGGACAGTCTGGGCTGTTACACAAAGGAAAAACAAGAAAATAATAACAAATAATAACCATATTGACAGTTTCTTTATTGCCTATATGTAACAATAAAACAATTACATAAGAAATAATTAAAATGGGTCAAATTCCTGGTGAGTTCTAATATTAAACATTTGTGGCACCTTGATGGTTTTATTAGTGTTCTCAGTCATCAATGGATAGTTGTTCTCTCATGAATGCTATGAATGGTTTAATCATGTTTACTGTACTTCATGGTAGCTCACATAAATTGTGTTGCTTATCTGTTCTATACTGTGTATCCCTCTCCTGCCACCAGAGCCCAAGTTACTCACTGTGAATCCAGGGGCACAGGCACACCTTCCCGTCACACTGTCACAGTCAGCCCCATTTTGGCAGCTGCAGATCTGTTGGCAAGCTTCCCCATAGAATCCAGGAGAACATGTTTCATTACAGTAGAGTCCAGACCAGCCTGGCTTGCAGCCACACTCTCCAGACATGGGATGACAGCTGAGAGACACAGATGAAAAGGACAAGTCATTCTGGGATAAACATGACACTTCAGCTTTGTGCAAATGTTGCTTTATCAATAATCACTAAATGTGCAGGTAATTCCTTGCATATAATTGAAAGTTTAATTCCTATGGTGGTGTGTTCAATTAATTGGCTGACCTGCCCTAGTCAAGTGACTACAGCAACCATACCCTTTTGTGTAAAGTTTTTAAGTGTCTTAAATTGAAAGTATAACTCAGGAAGAAGGCAACACTATCAGACAAAATGAAGAGCTCCATGGGACACCAAGTCCACTCTGCGATATCCAAGGAATTCCAAAAGCAGCGGCCTCGCCAACAAGCCTCTCCCCCCAAGCCATCTACCTGGTGATATAGCAGCAGCTGTTACCTGGAACAGTAGCCACATTGACAGGCCAGACAGCCAGCTGTTGCCCCAAAACAAATGCACACATCAGCTGTGCTAAGATGTTCATGCAAGTGAGTGGTCACAATAAGGCACTCTGTAGCATGCTGGCCCAAAACATGTGTGCTTCCTGACACCGGGAAACCTTAACAATCAAACTCTGCTGGCAACAGAAAAACTGTGTAGAGATGCCCCCCCCCAATGAAGCCCAAATCCTCTCCTTAAATAGGAAAAACAACAAAATCTAATTTCCATCTAGACACATGCTAAATGGTCTTTCTAAAGGAACTAGTGGTAGAATTTGTACTTGGTGGGGGGGGGGATGTTGAAGAATTGTAGGGGTGAAGCCAGGATGTAATTCTAGTTCTCCATCTACCTGAATGACCTTAGGGAAGCCACAAAGCCTCTTACTTGAAACACCTTACTGAATGAGGTCTCAGCCGTACCCCATAACCTTATTTTTTAAAAAGTAGATGAGTGTTTTGCCTGCATGTAAGTATGAGCACCATATGCATGCCTTGTGTCCCCAGAGGTCAGCAGACAGATTTGAACTAGAGTTACAGATTCTCCTTGCCTCCCTACCCACCCAACTCTGTGGGGTTTTTTTCCCTGTTTTTAAAACAAACAGAAAAGAAACACACACACACACACACACACACACACACACACACACACACACACACAAAGCAAAATTAGACGAAATGTTTACAAAAATTCAAGTGAGTTCAATTTATGTTAATCAATTACTCCTGGGCATGGGGCCTGCCCCAGAATGCGGTGAGTAGGCCTGTGAAACTCCACTGGAGAAAACTGGCTTTAGTTTTCCTTTGCTAGAAGGTATCGATTGCATCCATTTTCTTGGTTAAGGATGGCACTCCATGTCCACACTTCCCTCTCAGTGTGGGGATCCTGTCTGTTTTGAACCCACACAGATCTTGTGTGTGCTGCCACAGTGTCTGAGTTCATATGTGCATCAGTCCTGTTGTGTCTGGAAGACACAGTTTCACGGTAGTCACCTGGCACCTCTGGCTCTTACACTCTTACCCTTTTCCTGGTTTAAATAGCTCCTTGATCCTTGAGGGTAGGAACTTGATGAAACATCCCATTTAGGACTAAGTGCTCCAAAGCCTCTCACTCTGCACACTATCCAGTGGTGTGTGTGTGTGTAACACTCTATCTTACTTCCCATCTACTGCAAGAAGAAACCTCTCTGATGAGGGCAGAGAATAGTTCTCGATCTCTCCTTCAGCCTCATCTCCCATTGCTACTAGGATTTAACCATTCCAACTCAAAACTACCTTTTGACTCCATATATCCTCTATATTGTACTATAACATGTCAACTGAACTAAAAAGTCTTCCTCCCTGCATCTACACCTGCCTTGTCACCTAAAGCATCAATCACACCATAAGCTTCTCCTTAAAGCTTGTCAAAGATTCCCCACTAAACAACACTTGTGATAAAACCCATGCTGGCATGATTGTAGTATTTGTTACCTAAACCAGGACCTCTCAAGAATGGAGAAGGAAAGAATAAAACTTATCCTAGGACAATAGGCTTAATTAGCTTGTCCTTGTGAAGCCAGATATAGAGTCACCCTAAAAAAGCCCCAAAGCCTCGGCGTTGGCCACTACCATGTCTGTGCCTGATCCAACCCCACCAAGAAAGGCCTGCCATCACGGTTCTCAATTTATCATTACACTCAGCCATATTGCATTTCTTTCAGCTTGCAGAAACAACCAGAGTTCTCCACAAGCTTCCATAGGGAGCTACTCCAATGTCCTAGAGGGCACTTTCCCTACTCTTCATCTCTCTCTCCCCATCTTCTCCTCAGTCTCTGCTGAAACTGCCCCTCTCCAACCACCAAGACTTAAGGAGGTCTGTCTGGGTCCCTCTCCCTGCATCCTACCCTTCCTCAACTCACTTCTCGGTCTGCAGTGTTAACTTATTTTACCTTGACATCTTTCTTCCCCACCACACCACAAGATCTATGAGGCCAGGAGTTCAGTCACTTTTACTGCCCATCTGCAGCACACAGTAGGCTCCCAGCAAAGACAGCAGAGTGAATGGTCAAAGAGACATAGCCAATTCCAGATCTGGTTTTCATATAGTCCCTGCTTCTCTCTCGCATCGCTGAGCCCCCACACAGGTACCCGTGTCCAAAGGCAGGGCTTCCCTGAAACTTTGTTTCAAAAGTGTTAGTCTTAAATGAAAGGGAATTGCCTCAAACCCCAGAGAAATATATAGTATCAGTTTTGAAACTGAAAGGAAAGCAAATTTGCTAGCAGCCTTGGGAGAGACTCAATGTGAAAAGGAATTGCTAAAATTTAGGATTTAACACTGTTATATAGAGTCAGCAAGACTGTGAAAACAAGACAAATTTATATGAGTAAAACCTTGTATTTGAGAAAAGCAAAAGGAAACAAAATATTTTACTTTATCTTAACCTTCTCTAAAGGAAAGGACAATCTTTGGTAGAAAGTAGCTTACACTAAAAAATCAGAAATGTTATTTATAATATAGACATTAATGCTGAGCAAAATAGATATTATTAATGAATGTGAACTGAGGGGCAGACAGGGAAAATGATATTCAAGGGGCTCTGTGAGTGGCAGCACAACCTACTGGTTCTCAGAATGATTGACACCAGGACTAGCGTTCTCCAATTTGTAATTAAGTGTAGGATATCAGAGTGGTTTGGAGGTACTCAGTGGCCTCTCATTCATGCAGTTAATGGGCAATGAAACCTATATGTGGAAGATTGGAGGTGAAAGGGTGATATACTTCATATCTGTTTTCTACCTAAAGAACAAATTACTTTATACATGAAAATATAATTATGCACCTATGGAAATATTTGTCATTTTGTACATGCATAGAATTACTGCTACTTTTTTTTTAAGCAGTTCTTCATTTTAATAGCTAACTTGTAACAGGAATCCAGTTGTACATAATATTGGCTGAGGCTAGTGGCAGGGGCCTGTGATTCTAGCTACTAGGAGTCTGAGGCAGGAGGAGGGTAGGTTCAAGGACTGCTTGGACCATACTGTAAATTCAAAGTCAGCCTGGGCACTTAGTGAGAGACTCTGTCTCGATATATATATTTATCTTGAGAAGAGCTGGAACTTTGCTAGTAATAAAGTACTTGCCTAGAATGTCTGAGGTCCTGGGTTTGACCCACAAAAGACATATTTACTAAAACATAGGAGTCATTGAGCTTCCTTTTATTCATTTCCTTATATGAGGTATGCACTCAAATGCAATGACAATTGGGTGGTCTCCTGATTAGTTTTGATTGTGGGCTTGACAACCTGGAAAGAGGGAATGTCACTTGGAAGCATTGACTCAATCAGATTGGCCTATGGCTATGTCTGTGAGGGATTCTCTTGATTGGTGACTGATATGGGAGGGACCAGCCCACTATGGGTGGCATCACCCTTAGGCAAATAGGTATGGACTCTATAACAGAGTTAGGAGAGCATGAAGAGATGGGGCTAGTAAGCACCCTTTCTTCATCATTTCTGCTCCTGACATTCCTCAGTGACAGACTTTTACCTGGAAGTGGAAGCTGAAACAAACCTCTTCCTCCTAAATTTGCTTTTAGTCATGGTATTTATAACAACAGGAATGCAAATTAGAACAGGTGGTGTTTGCAAAATAAGGCACATGCTGATTTGCTAACAGCTACTGGATGTCCTTTTTTTTTTAATTTAATTTTTTTATTTAATTTATTATTTTACATGTCCTTCTTAACAAAGACTGGTATACATATGCTATGCCCCATCTAAGTAAATGCATTTTATATTCTTGCTATAAATCATTTCCACTATGAACATTAGTTTTCCACCTGAAAGTCTGGGTCAATAAAAATGCCTTTGGTTTATTAATATTTAAAGTATTAAAATCACATGTAAATATATTTAAATTAATTTCAGTTTCAACTAAATAATGGATTACAAAATAAAATGGCTACAGTTTGGGGTGATGCCTCTCCTAAAGAAGTGGAGGCCAAGTTCAAGGTCAGTCTAGTCTACATAGCAAGTTCTAAGTCAACCAGGGATACACAATGAGACCTTGTCTCAAAATAAAGTAGAGCACATTGAATCTGGGTCCATGAGTGTTCTTCATCTTATAATGAATATTGGGCAACACGGCATAACCAAATGCCTACATGTATGTAGAGCCCTGCTTGCTGTTGCCTTTAGAAGCCAGTTGGCTAAAATGAGCCCAGGCTACCCTTCCAAAGACTCCGTGTGCCTAATCGATTTTATCATTCAGCCAAATGCCAGACATGGAGTGAGGATTTCGAAGACCAGCCAGCTTCCAATGGATCTGCCTGGAGAACTTACAGAAAATAGCAAAAGAGACCCTAGGCAGAGGCTGAACCTAACTCACAAAGTTAAAAGTCATCAGCTACTAAGGCTGTTCAATTTGGCATCATGTGTTTATTTGTTGTGATGTTACTAATGCTAGACTATACTAACCCCTCCTCAAATGTGTGGCTCTCATATGTCAATATTTATATGCACAGAACCTAAATGCTATGGAAACTTTCATTGCACTATGTGTATTTTACTAACTACACAGAAAGGCTTGGATAAATTTACTGCATGAATTATATATAAAATGGCAAATCTCTACTTGCTTTATTAGATGATAAGAGAACAAATTAGGCTTTCAATTAAAACAATGATTCTAAGTCCCTGCATTTTACAGGGATGTTCAAGATAGGAGAATTCATAAATGACTCCAGCTGTGTAGCCAGTGTGATAGACTCATGTAACCCACATTTAACCAGCTTTAACAGGAATGTGCAAAAGATAATTTTTAAAAATAGTTTTCGTGAGTAAGGGCATTTAAATTGTTAATGTTCGATAGACATCACTTCAGCATTGTCTTCATCCATGTTATTGGCAAACAATCTATCTATCCACTTCTTTATTGGAGTATATACATTTAATCCAAAGAGGCCTATGTCAGTATGATCAAGGGGGGGGAACACCTTCCACCTGCATCTAGAAACCCAGTTCCACCAAAACCAAGTCCCCATGCTTCTCCAGTTCCTCTCAGAATAGAGGTTTACTCTGTGTAGTTTTCTGCTTTATTGGGTTTCAGTTGTGTCAACAAGAAAACAACCCACCAGTGATGGCACTACACAAGGCTTGCCTTACTGTAGAGGAAGCCAAACTCATGATTTGTGTTTAACTGTACCAGCCCCTTACACAGCAGAAAGTTGAAAATAAACCTTTGTAGAGCCTTTATTATCTGCATACTTATCCAATATTTCATGTAAGAGATAGCAATATGTTTCAGTGATGGAAACGCAACGTTGACCATAGCACAGTTGCTTGAATCACTTGGAGAGTACACTTCTTCACACACACACACACACACACACAACAATATAAAGTTGATTTCTCTTCTGTTCATAATAATGGCTTAAAGAATAAGCCAACCACACACTTCTGTTCCCCTCTAATGCTTATGTGTTTGGGATTTGATATGGCTAAGTATAAATGGAGGATCATCTGTCCTGACTGCAAATAAAAGTCTTTCTTCTAACAGCTGAACTGTTGTTTACTGCACTACACTTTTGTCCATTTATCTTTTCCAGAAGTCTGCATATGCCTGGGAATTCTGTTCTATGTATCTGGAACGTGGAGAAGGGGTAAAGGAAAGAATAGGTGGGAAGATACTTTTCAGGGACAGACAAGGCACAGTAGGGTGAACAGGAGTGTGGTTTCCTGTTCCTAGGTTTTTGAGCTGAAAGAACCCTCTGAGGGTTATTTTTTTTGGGGGGGGGGCTCAGAGTCAGAGCAATCAGTTCTGAAAGCTATTCCACATGTGAAGCACTTTCACAAACCTCGCTCACTTCCTCTCAGTCGCCTTTCTTGTCTCCCACAGATGTGCTGTCAAGTAAAAGATGCTGCAGTGAGCATGATATTTTCACATCCTGAACTTGGTTTAACCCCTGTCTCTCCATGGTATCTTTGCTTCTAAGGGAGTGTCACACAATTCTTCTCTTAGGGAACAGGTCTGTACATTTTAGCAAAGCCATTTTTACCAGTCCCCATCAATGGGGTAAAAAAAAAAAAAATTACTCAATACCCACCAACAACCAATAACCTTCACCCTTTGAACAGGAGCTTTCAGTCACTAAGTGAAAAAAAAAAAATTGTCCTTCAACTTGATGGTTTCTGTCAATGAGAGGCCATTCTTGCCAACCCTGGGACACTAAAGTTAGAACTTTAATAGAAAATGTTCCCCAGAGCAGCTGGCACTCACCTATGAGTGTTGTCCAGGTGGCAGGGGCACCGCTTGTCGCATTTGATGCCGTACAGGCCCTCGGGACACAGGCGCACCTCACAAAGATCGCCTGCAAAGCCTGCTTCACATAGGCACGCCCCGCTCACGTGGTAACACTTCCCTCCGTTAACACACTTGCAGGTCTCTTCACAGCGAACTCCATAGGTCCCAACTGAACATTCCTCCTGACACCTATTCAAACAAGAGGCAGACGGTGGGTTCAAAGGGGCCTAAACATGTACACATTGAAGCTTTTCGAATCCATAGTATTTCATGTTTGCTCCATTATAGGCAGAAAAGCACTCATTGCTGTCTCATACAGATCACTCCGGATAATAACATTAACAATCGTAAGCATGAAAAACGGAGAACTAAATACAAAGACTCAAAGCATTCGGAACTTCCAACATCAGGTGTCCTCTACCCCAGTTTGTAGTTTATTAAGAAGGCTTTGTTTGTGTAGACTAGCGATTTTTTTTTTTCCTTTTGGCAAGTGAGATATTGCTCTCTGTTGGGAAGCATGGCCAAATGGAAATGGAAAAAAACCCACCTTAGTGTCTTTCTAACAAAAAAAGAAGTAGTGTGGAGGGAGGGTATAGATGCTTAGGTAAGTTGGGTGAAGTGGGGAGCTTATGCGGATGCTGGAGGAAAGGAAGGCATCTTGACTGCTCTGTGAGAAGCATGAGTGGTTATTGGGGCTAGCCAAATCTCATTTTGGCGAGGTGAGGTGATGGAGAGAGTCCAGCCAAAAATACACAGATGAAGTCACACCTAGTGGAGGGCTCATCTTGGTAGGGGACACTGTCTCAGCAACCACTTCCCATGTGGCTTTCCACTCATGCCAGACTATAATTAAAAAAAAAAAAATGTAGGTCAGCATTGCATTTTTCAGATCTGTACAATGCAAGCAGCAAGGCGTGCTTAAGAGCAACGATGGAGAAACAGTTCCAAGAGAAACAGCCTTTCCTCCAGGCTTGGCATAATTTTAATGATAAGGTGTGGTGAGTGTCAATACTGGGCGTCTAAGAATAGAGGGAAAACCCTTGGAGTCTTCTGACATTTTGCTGGTTGACACTGGCTCTAGCATGCATTAAATGTGATGGAGAAAAGGGAAAGGACCTTCTAGTAGGTTTCATTGCTTCTGGACATCTCCAAGTGCATTTGTCAGCATGCCATCACTAACTGCTTAACCGCAAAAGAACTTTTCGAGCCGCTGAGTGAATACTTCAAATAAATCCACGTAGAGTTTAGAGCTACATATGAACGCATATAGCTACTTTTAGACTGGAGTATTTTTATAAAGGTCCTCAATATTTTTAACCTTCAAGATCTTTAACAAACCAAGTCATCCGATTTGTTCTTTGAAAGTGTGCACTTTAAAGAGAGACTCAGTGATTGAACCTAACCTAAATTTTTGCTAAAGACTGGCAAGAGAGCTTCTCAATATGCCTGATGGGATGTCCTTGCAACTCAATGCTAATGAATAAAATAGAAAAGAAAATACCACTTCCTCACTCTCATCTATGAATTGATAAATACAATAAAATGCTAAACTTTGCATTGGTGGGATGACTCAGGGGTAAAGACACCTAGTGGCCTCAGATAGATCCCAGAAGCCACGTGACTAAAAGAGTAACTGTTTTCCACAAGTTGCTCTCTGACCCCAACACAGGTTTAATGCACCACCCCACCACCAACACACACAGTAAATATATAAATATTGATTAGGGAAAACTGAACTTTGAGTTATCTACACAGTTTTAATGTGGCTGGGAAAGTTATGTCACCCCATTACATGGAACTAGCAGCATGTGAGGGCTCATTGTGTGTTGGCACAGTATTTTCTTTGTCTTGGAAGGTAACATGTATTATAGCTGGTCTTGGCCTGTATTCACCTTTCGAGCCTCTAATTTAACATCGAGTAGTTTCTAGTGTCAATTCAGAACAAGTACACTTGGATTTGCTGCCCAGGCTGTCACTGTGAGAGCTGGTTCTTCTGTCAGTGCCAAGCCTTCCTGTCAGTAATCACTGTGCCTTTCTATCTCCAAACCCAAACATGGGGGCAGCTTTCTAGGAGAGACTTTTCCAGTGTTTGTTTTTTTTTTTTTTTTTTTAATCACCGTTTTAAGTATGTATAGATGTATAAGATACAGTGTGATAATTCAATGCGTGAATTCAGAACGTTTTCTGTCTTAAATAAACGTCATGGAGTGGAGTCTTTCCAGTTGGTCTCTAGCTTAAGACTATTTCCCTTTCATACCCTTAGGGTTGCTTTTTGTGATCCCACAAGAAACAAGAAAGGCTATCTCAGGAATCAGTAATACACTACTTTCTTAAGAAAGATGGCAGAGAAATTACAGAGAGTAATAAACATTGGCCAGAGAAGAAATGTAGAAATTGTGGATTTCTATTAAAAATAAAAGAAGAAAGGGATTTCTAGTATCGTTCTAGAACTAGGAGAAAGGGTAATCATTAAATAGACATAAACTGATAAAACACTAATTAATGGGGTATATCCTTACATTGATGTCATCCTGATCACTACTTTGCATCTGGCTGTAAATTTAAGGAAGAGAAAGTAAATGGGGGTGGTGATCCTTGTCTTTGAAGCACCTCAGTTCCCAGAGTGACCAGAATAGCTGAATCAAATTGTGATTGCTTGTGAAAGACTTCCCCTCTTCCTGCAGCCTGCTTTGTAACATCTGGAGCAGCTGTCCTGGGGGAAAGTCAAAGACACTGAGAAGGAGCCAATTCTTCCACAGTCACAGAGACAGGTGAGTGCCTCTTCCTTGGAGAAGACCAGTGCTGCGTTCCTCCAGTGCCAAGCTGCCGTTCCCGACTTTGTGCCATTTCTTCACTGTCAGAGTCACACAGAACACAGACCTGGCAGGGCTGTCTTGGGGTTCACAACAATAGACTTCATTACTGAGTCATGAACACTCACTGAGCAACTGAGCATTGTTTATAGGCACGGACCCAGGCCCTGCCATCAAAAGACCACAGAGTAATTCTGCCACATCATTAGCACCTCTTAAGGCATCTTCACACAGAGCTCTGTGAGGATCCCAGAAATGTCTTCCCTTCGTTTCTTGTCTACTTCACTGTACTGCATCTTCTAATACCACAGTACCCTTTGGGTCTTTACACAAACCTCAAAGCCTCTTATTTGTCATCCTTTGCGTGGTCCTGCAAGCCTGCAGAGTATGCCAGTTGTTTCTCTGTGGTGGGGTGGCTGGCGTCCCCACATCCTGGGTATATTTTCTGACAGCTGCCTGCGGTGAGAACCGGTGTGGAGGAGCCCTCCTAATCACAGTGCTCCAGGCACACTGATGTCTCAGGACAAGTGAAGGGACACTTGCAATCCCCACCCTTGGGTCTCCTCCCCACCTCCTGCCACAAACTTCCTCACAGACACTCACTGTGTTCTTTGATAGAGGGAGAAATCAGTTTTCTGTCATCCCATGGATTGGGTATGCTAATAACGTAAAATGAGGATAGCGATGGAAAACAGCAACCACAGGTCACCACTGATTCCTTACCAAAGCATAGGTAGAAGAGCAATCACCCCCACCCCACTTCACTTTTACCCCCTTACCTTTGAGTTTCAAAAGTTGATTTGAAAATTAGCTATTATTCTCTACCCCTGAATTCCAAGTCAATGAGCACAAGCTCACTGGCCTGATGGGTGTGTTTTTGTATTGCTTTTAAACTTAAATCTCTAAGTGCACTGAAGTCTTTCTAGAACCCAAAACATTGTAGAAATAATCACTTAGAAGCCTCTTGGTTTTGTGTCTCTTTTCATTCCTGTCAATCAATCATCTAATGACCTCATCTATCCAAAGCACAGCTTAGAACTAGGCGATGGGTCACAAAGTAACACAGACTAGCCCCGTTCTATATTGTAGAGCAAATAATCGAGATAACTGCAATTCCTACATCAAGACACTAAGTAAACAAAAAATGGCTTTTATTTGAATTTAGCGGCTATTTCTAACAAAAGACCTTAACAAAACAAAGGACTGGAAAGGAGATAATGTAGAAACCAGAAATTGTAGACAGAAAATTCCTCGATGCTATGTCCCACAAAGCAGAATAAACATTGACCTCCTACTCATCAGAATCAATTCAGAACTTCAAATTGGTCTAATAAGAAAATGAGCAAGTCATTAGAAACATTTTTAAACCAACAGATTAACTTTTAGTGGTGGGTACTATCACTGCAAAATCCAACAATCCTAGTACTTGCTTAAAATATTTATTGGTAAGGTAAGGAGTACGTAAGTAGAAACATGAAAAAAAAGTTTTTCTTTATCTAGAAAATATCCAGTTAGAAACTGAAAAAAAGATTTTTTAAAATGTATAAAATACTTAAAAATGCACTTAATAAGAAAAAATAGATACTGCCTGGAGAGGTGGAGAAGCTCATAGTATGTAATCAAAAGTCATAAATTAGCAGAATTTTGGAAATAAAAAGTACTCTTAAGATATTCTGGGTGATGAGAAGGAAGTTACACTACATGTAAGTTCCGAACTACATGTCCCATTTGAGAACTAATCTGTCAATGCCTCATCCCTCCTCTCATTATTCTGTGTTACCTCAAGTCTGTCTAAAGATACTGAAAATGTAGAGTGGCCGTCCTAATCACTCTGCGTTTCAGAGTGACACCTTCATCATGGGTTCTGAATAGCTCAAGTTCTATTGTCTTTTTCTAATGCTTTCTCTCATTTCTTCCAGTTCAATGTAGCTGTCCTGTGACTGTGCTTCATTCATTCATTCAACAGGGATAGATTTTCGAACATCTTTAGACTTTCTAGATGCCTCTGGAATATTATGTAGTAGTTGTAGTTGCACGATACTGAGCATGCTCCCCAGACTCTTCAAACTGTCCTTTTTAATTTATTATGTATAGTGAGAGAAACACAACGGTGTCCTTACCGTTCCCCTGTGTATCCTGGGCTGCAGTGACACTGTCCTGTGGCAGCATCACACGTTCCTCCGTTGTGGCACTGGCATTCTTGGGAACAGTTCTTTCCAAAGCGACCCTCAGGGCAGGGCTGGCCACACACTGTGCCCTGGATTCAAAGAGACTTAGAAAATTAGATGGGCCACCAGCCAGAACCGTGAAAGGCAGAGGAAGAAAATGGAGACAACAGAAAGGGAGGGAGAGATTTGGAGGACAGGGCTGTGAGAAAATTAGATTAAGGTCATTTTAGAACACAAAATGTTCATTGTTAAAATAGGAAGAATTTCAAACTGAGTATTGACTTGATAAGCCCAAATCTCAAGATACATTCAAAGGCAGGAGAATAGTGATCCTAAGAAAAACTGAACCCTAAGATTAAATTACATAAAATTATTATGGCAACCTAAGGGATCTATAAACACTCCAAAGTGTTCTTCCCTGAGCCTTCCTCCCCCCAGAAGTTAATAATGCTCACTGAGCATTCGCTACATAAGTAGCAACATCTGATGAATACAAAACACCAAATTCTTTCCCAGATGCTGGGCGCTATCTCTAGCTTCTTAAGATGTCACAGAGGATGGAGGGGAAACTGAGGTTGGTATGTAAAATAAATTTTTAAAAATGTAATAAATAAGTAAAATAACAAAAAGGTGCAACAGTGCATAAGGTTGAAACTTGGTGTGCTTGAATTAACATTAATAACATCACCTAAGAAAGATTCCTACAGGAATTAACCATTGTTTCAGAAGAAAAGACATATTTTCAAGCAGGTTCAATAAACATTTCTGAGGCAAACTTATTTCCCAAGGAGAACCCAAGAAAGTTGCTAGGACATTTCTCCTCAACCTACCAGCCATCCTTAGCAAGTGCAGTCATGTATATTCTAATCCTGAGTGTGTGAAATGAAGACATGGTCTGGAGATCTTAATATCGGTGAAATACACCACTGTTTCTTACTTCACTTAGCTATGTAACTTGGGTTTACAGCCTCTGATTTATTGGAGTTATAATCATTAGAATATTTATTAGAGTCATAATTAGTACAAACAGCATACCCTACATAATGGGATTTCCTTCATGTTTTCCATTGTTCTCTCTCTCCAAAGAGGCAGACTGAGTACTCTGAAATTGGAGCCTAGCTAGAATACCAGATGTTTTTCTAAATGTTTATTCTGGATAGTGTAAGAAATACATTTTCTCTAACTACTGGCTACCCCTAAAGGCAGTTGGTGAGCTAATTAAGTCTCCTCTGATGGTTTCAAGCTATCCACCAACAGGAAAGATTCCCCTCCAGGCTCCTGGAACCATAAAAGCCCTTTAGAGACAATTCAGATTAGTGCTTAACCGAGAATGGTCCTCATGCCAGGCATTTTGCTAAGCACTGAGATTTAAGGATAACTGCCTTTGCCTGGCCTGTTTATGGGTGATGAGAGCAGATACAAAAATAACTCTAATTACTCTGTGCTAGGACATCTTACCACACTTAGTGGAATATAACATTTCCAAAGGAATGGTGGACTGAGGGCCAGCTAACAGTTGACCAAGGTTCAGTGGGTGGTGGGATCTGCTGCAAATGCTCATTTACGCTGGGTCTGATTCTAAAGACCCATCATGGTCCCTCATAATTTCCAGGGATGCTGTTGAAATGTTGGCTATGGATAAAGTTCATTGTAAACAAACAGTGGAAAGATGACAATGTTGCTATTGACTGAGGTGTGTGTGTGAGTGTGTGCATGTGTGTGTGTGAGTGTGTGTGAGAGTGTGTGTGTGTGTGTGTGTGTGTGTGTGTGTGTGTGTAATACCAGTTCATCTTTGGAAACATCTAAAATAACAATACAAATAAGATGTTGCAAAGGGGAAATTTAAGTTGGGAGTTCAGTTACCCGCAGAGGGAAGAACATTTGGAAGCTTCTATTAAGAAACATCTGTTGTGGCCTAAAGGAAGTGGTTGAGGACAGATTCCAGGGAACCAACAGAGTGGATCCATCTGTCTGCCTCCTGGATTCTTCATGCCAGGCTCTGGCCACCACCTTCCCACATTGTGACTTCCAGGTGACAAGGGAACATTTCAACCTCAAGGTGAAATGCCTGTAGTTCTTCACTCAGAGAACTTGGGGTTCCCTGAACACTGCACTACAACAAGACTCTTCCCTTGCCACAAACCCAGCAAGGGCCAGTGTTGGTAGAAGATGCTGATGCAGGAGCTGGGAGATGAGAAGGAGTCCAAGATAATCTGACACTTCTACTCAGGCTTCTAGGAAACATTGGCTTGTACTTAGATCCAAAAGGCTGAGGCATATAGTAGGTTTTGGTTTCCTAACATTTGCTTTGCCGGGCCTTCTGGAACCACCCCAGTGATCCTTGTACAGCTTCCTTCCACCCTCAGGCCCTCAACAAAAGGCTGCACCCCCTAACTCCATTCCATCTAGTTCCGATACTTTGCTTCAAGAATCAGACTTTGTCTGGCCAGTTTCTGACCTTCACCATGGGTCTGATCAATTTGCTGAATGCTTGCCACAGTGGTCTTGAAAAAAAAAAAAAACACCTCTCCCATATGTCATAAGGCCCATGCCTATGTTTTTTGTCATATCAGCTATAGAAAGTATAGCTTAGGTGGAGTCTAGATAGTCAGTGACATTTTGACTTCAAGCTACCAAGGTTGGAGTAAATAACAGGATAGTTATCTCCTTGACTCTGCCTACTACATTTCTCTATCCCTGTTTTGATTTCCCACCTGGCCTGGCTAACTCCTGTCTGTCCATTGGCCAGAACAACTTTGTTCATCAACCAATAAAAGAAACATATATTCACAGCATACAGAAGGACATCCTCCATCATGGATGCAATTGTGAATGTAGTTATTGAACAGTTTCATTATTTATCAGCTGCTGTTGTTATGTGTGAGATCATATATCTGCTTCTTTTTCTCTTTGGGGAACATGCAGATCCATGGTTGTTATTATTTCCATCAGAGTTCTTAATACACTTTATGGACAAATGCAGGACAAAGTTACCTCTGACTTCTCTGATCTGAAGGATTTCTTTTGCGTATCTGAGTGTAGGAATCATAGCCACCATTGCTACTTTCTTTTGTACTAAAGTCTCCTTATGATATTCTCTTGTGTGTCCTGGAATGTGTGACTATTGGGAGCAGAAGGGACACTTACCATCCAGCCAGAAGGGCAAGAGCATACTCCAGTTACATGATGACACACACCTCCATTTTGGCAGGGACATCTCTGCTCACATTGTGGGCCATGTTTGCCAGGGGGACAAAGATCTTCACAACTAAAGGATTTAAGTGAAACATAAGACACTGGTATTTATCCAAGTGCATGATCCTCAGAGTAACAGACATCTCATTATCCAGAACCCTAAAATATATAATCTTTCCTCCTTATTCGAAAATGATTAACTTAATCAGCTTTCAGACATTAATCACGATGGCTGGAAGTGTCTTGATGGGCCCTTAGGTCCTTTTTTCAGTCCTTCTTGTGGTTTAAGACCTGCCTCTCTCTCTTTCGTGTGTGTGTGTGTGTGTGTGTGTGTGTGTGTGTGTGTGTTCTCTCTGTGTGCAGGTATGCTTGCCCATATGCATGCATACAGAGGCCAGAGGAGGATGCAGGATGTCTTCTACCAGTCTCCACTTACTCCCCTTAGACAGGGTCTCTCACTGAACTTGGAGGTCACTGACTATAGCTCAGCTGGTGTCCAACAAGCCCCAGGGTCACCTGTCTCTTCCTGCTCTTGATTCCCAGCACTAGAGTTATAAGAACCAAAGATCACACCTGTTTTTTTATGTGGGTGCTAGGGATCCGAACTCAGATCCCTAGGCTTGCACAGCATGAACTCCCACCAAGTCATCTACTTGACCCTGGTTTTGGGGAATATCTCTCCATTCTAGAGCTCCAGGAAGGAGAGTGACCACACACTGGTGACAGAAGTAGTCCAGGGTAGTCTCCTAAGCTCTTGTGCTGGAGTGAAATCTACCGTTCTTTGGAAGTTTGTCCTATCATGAAGGAAGACCTGATGTTCACACGCTCCTTCCGTGTGCTAGTCACAGTTTTCAGCATTCTCGTCTCCTGAACGGCTCCACTCCTTTAACCCTACTGTTCTCTGATCTTCCCCGCTGAAACACCTTCATTTTTGCCCTGATAAAATGCCTCCAAGTTTTCCACAGCCCTATTTAATGCTGGCCTTGGTGAAAACCCATAAAAGTGATATTAACAATAAAACAGTTTGAAACAAACATCTATTCTGAAAACCAGGACTTTCTAGGCTAGCACATTTCCTCCTTTAATTCTACTTTAGACATTAGCACTGTCAGCAGGACATATTTACCTAATGAGCTACATTTCCCCGACTATTAGTTCTGTGATTTATGTGTGTAATTTTCCAAGTAAAGAACAAGATCTCTCTCTCTGTCTCTCTCTCCCTCCTTCCCTCTCTCCCCAAATTCTGCCTTTTACTCTGTTTTCAAAAGCAAACCAAAGAACGCTGTTCCCAAAATAAAGTCATGATGATCGAGGACTTATTTCAGTGTCCTCCAGAAAAAATAAATAAATAAATAAATAAATAAATAAATAAACGTTTAGTGTGCAATGCATCCTAACCGTTTGTGCACTTCTATTTCATAAAATGCACATAACCATGAGCACCACAGGACTCGTGATCTTTCATATTATTTCATATTGTCTTTCATTGTATGCAAACATTTCAGTCTCCTTCGTGGGCCCTGGATCCACCTGGATAAATCCAACTTATTGCCATAAGAGCAGAACCCCAGTCAACTATCAACTATTCCTAGACAGTGAATGGAATTGTGGGAGATTTGCAACAGAAACCCACACCTGTCATGGTAATCCCAAAACATACTCATTCACACCCACATCATTGGGTCAGCCTGGAGGCAGGTCCATATATCTTGGCTGACTGAACTCTGGCATTCAAAAGTCAAGCAGCAGTAGGCCCTAGTGGCCATCACAGCACTGTCTGGAACCTGTACCCGCAGCGGCTATTGAAGGAGCAGTAGAAATCGAGGTGCACTGTTATCCATGGTGCTGCCCCACGGCGCATCAACTTACAAGGCTCCAGTGTATCCTGGAGAACAGCGGCATTCTCCAGTGACGTGGTCGCAGGTCGCTCCGTTCTGGCACTGACATCTTTGGTGACAGTCATTACCATAGGTGCCTTGTTCACACCGGTCCTCACAGCGCCACCCCCGGTAGCCTGCAGCACAGTGGCAAGCCCCAGTGATGGGGTTGCACAAGGCTTTGTTTTTGCACTGACACCGACTACTACAGTGAGGCCCCCAGTGATCACCATCACAAGCTAGGATGAGAAAAAGAGGAGACATCAGAGTGTGAGGTTGGATCGTGCAGTTGTTCTCTGCTCTCTTTTGTGTGAGAGATAAGCCTTCATCATGATACCTACCACCTTTTAAATGTCTTAGATAAGGTTCCTTGTATCCCAGGGTGGTCTCAAACCAGCTCTGTAGTAAAGGATGTCCTTGAACTTCTGATCCTCCTGACTCTATCTCTTGGGTGCTGAGACTTGTGGTGTGAGCCATGACACCAGATTTATGCCATGCTGGAGACTGAACTCGGAGCTTCTAACTGCTAGGCAACCACTCTGCCAACTACGCTCCATCGCCTTCCTGGTCGACATTCTTACTCTGAGCATCCAGGCTCCAGCACCAACAGCTGCACGGCACCAGCTGCTGCTCAGGGTACCTGACACCAACCAGGCACCATTTGCGGTTTCATTCCACTGCTTAAGCATCACCATATTATTTTCTAGCTCCGGGGCTTTGCTCTTCCTATTCCCTAAACCACAATATGGAGTTTGATATGGCCATAGTAATGAGAGAGCTAGTGAAAGTTGTTAAGGAAAAGGAGGCTAGGAGGGAAACTGGGGATGAGCAGTTCATACAGAGGATTTTTTTGTACAAGGGACTGAAGTTGGAGGATTTTAGGCAAGGAAATGGAGTCATCCTTGGTGTTAGAAAAAAACTGCAAGAAAGACACAAAGCAGGATGAAGACCAACTGCTCAGATCAGTAAGAGGCGCTAGAACCCAGCCAGTAACAAGGAAAGGAAGAGGGGATCAGGAATTGGGTTGTTAAAGACCTTTGACTGGCCCTTTAGCAGCCTGGGTTTGCAAGATACCAATCAAAATGTATGTCAGTGGGTAAGCCCAAAGACCACCACAGAAAAAGCAGAATAAATATAGTAGCCTATTTAAAAAACACATCCAACCTAAGACTGAAAACAGACAACTAACAAAAAGGTATTAGGCACAGGAAACAATACAAAACAAAAGGAAAGAATAGACATTGAAAGATATATTCAAAGTGAGGCTTTGAATAATTAGAATGGCTGTTAGATAGAAGTCAGTGGTGGTAGGGTGGTGTCAGTGGAAGGAAACAATCCCAAAGCCCAAAGCCAACCATCCTGAAACCCATCATGAGGGACACAAACACCTTGCTTGGTAAACACCCATGTTCAGTTGTTTATTAGCTACCATCACCAGGAGTATGTGCCCCATCGAGAACTCTTAGGGCAAAGTGCATCTGTGTGTAAAAACTGTAAGTTCAACAGACCAGAAGTAATGCTGGGAAGAAAACAATAACCCTAAGCACACGGCTAGCAACTCGACAGAAGTGTGGGCTCCATCTTCCAACCGTATAACCTACCGTGGATTCCATAATAGCAAAAGGTTTAAAGGAATAATTCCATTTTTAATCAGTACAGCTTTGGTCTCATTAGTATTTTAATAAACACTCTTTAACAGAATTAAAAACAATGAGCGAGAGTTATTGAACTTAAAGCAGATGAGGGAAGCAATTACCTAGGAGCTCACAATCTTCTTTCACAAAATAAGATTAGGTGGCAACTCTAAAATGAGATCCAAACCTAATTATTATTCATATCAGTTCTTTAGTCTGTTGCCTGTAGTTTAGGGCCCTGCATTTTTAAAATTTCAACTTTCAGTCTTAAAAGAAAACCATACCGTTTTAAAACTGTACAGACACACCTTACCCTCATAGTTAGTTATCCTAGGCAGAGACAAATGTATCCTGTCTTTAAAGCCATCCAAAGTAAGGTATGTGGCTGTGTGTAACTCACTCCTTGTCTCATCAATCATCAGTAGAGAAAGAAGTCATCATTCTACCCAAGACAAATCCTCCATCCCTTTTTCTAATCCATTTCCTCCGCCTTAATCCTGGGTAGTCAGTCTACTTGACCCCTATTCTGTCACTAGTGATCTTATTCCTGACGCATGAAGGTCACCTTGACCTTGTTCTGGGGTCTGTGGAGTAGGGCACCATGTCTGTACACTGGGGTCACTCTCTATCACTGAACCTGGAGCTCAGGGATTGAGAGCCCCCAGATCCTCTCCATGTGACCCCAGCCATTTGCTGCCATATCTGACTTCTTACATGGGGCTAGGGATCTGAACTCAGGTCTTCACATTAGCACAGCAAGCACTTTCCTGGCTGAGGTATCCCTCCCCCCCCCCACCTCTTGACTCTGTTCATTAGTGAACTACATGCCGTATCTCAGATACTCACAGCAATTCTTCAGAACTTTTTGTTTTTCTTTGCTAAACCCTCTTCAAAGTTTTCATAGCTCCCACATTGTGGGAGCCTCAGATACCAGAGGGGCTAAATACCTGCCCCTTCTCGTTCTCCAAGGAAAATGAGCTGGCAGATACAAAAGGCAATTTTATCTTATAATATTCTGTTGACAAAGACTGCAAGGTTGTATTTTGAAACCTATGATAAGTTATTGTCAGGCCTTTCCCCCACTGTAACACTGTGCGTCACAGAATGCATTTTATAAAAGCACAATGGTGATGAAGTAAAAGAGAGATGCTGAGGAACCAGGACCCATCCCTTCTCTCCGTGAGCCCTCCCACAATCCATGCAACACTTCCCCAGGAAAGCAGACAAAAAGAAACCAGCTCTAATTTCTCAGAATTTGACCAAAAACTGAAAAGGGGGGGGGTACCTTAAGATAGCCCCTTATAATAAAAATGAGTTTATAATAGAAATTGATAATATCACCAGAGAAAAAAATAAAGAGTTGCAGGCTTTCAAAGAAATACTATCACACCAGCATGGTTAATTTCCTGGCTATGTTTGAGCACTGTGGCATGCTTTGAAGCGATAACTTCCCTGCTTTGGGCTATATTTTCCTACAAAGCCACTGCTACACAGACCCCACAGTGTGGGCACTGTGTCAACATGAGCTGCGGATGAGGGCAGAGCCTACATTCAGCAGTCTGAAGGCAGACAAGTAGGATGAATAGAGCACAGAAGCCTAAACACGATTGTGATTTCCTTTCTAAATTGTGTTTTACTGTTTTTGTCAGTGTATTTACTCTTGTATGTGTTCCGTTGAGTCATGCAGTTTACAACATAAAAGCCAGCTTTCTTCTATGAGTCCTACGCCTACTAGAGTAAGTGGGTAGTGTCTAGAAAGAAACAGATGCTCCTTATACTGATGCAGAATTTGACCAATTATCTTCAGTTCAAGAACTTCATTTGATCACAGCGTTTTGGGAAGGTCTTAACAAAAATATACCTAAATGTGTCCATAGTCTCTACAGACTCGATATGGGTTAGCTTAGAGACTCCGAAGAATAAGTACAACTCTTGTTCCTATTTCATAGATGACCAACTTGAGATCCAGGTGGCTTGTTCAAGGTTACAGGCCATGAGGCATTGAGCACAGAGAGCTTATCTCCAGAACCTGTGCCCTAAATCATTACATTTTACTCTTCTTAAATTATAATGATGTTTATCTCAGCACTCTCTATAATAAAAAAAAAAATTGGAAATAATCTAATTATCCAAGAACAGGAGACTGGTTTAAAAAAAGAAAAAAACCAAACTGTTATAATTATACTTCAGAGCACTGTGCACAATTAAAAATGATAGAGAGAATAGTTAATGAACTAGAATCTTGGCAATATCATAATTATAAAAAGTAGATTAAAAACAGCATAAATCATGTGATTCAATTTTCCCAGTGAACTAGATGAAACTGCCATTAATTTAAGTTTAAAATGCAAAGTATCAGTGGAAGCATTTGGCTGGATGTAATATCTGGGAGATGGAGGGCAGGGGAGAGCAGGAGAGCCAGAAAGCCGGAAAGCCGGAGAACATTGTGGACTCCACAGTAACCAGTCACCACTGGGCACCTCCGGGGGCCTGAGATGATGCATGTTTTCTTTTTAATTTTAATTTAGCTAGGTATCCTACATTTTCTAATACATGTCATCTTGACAAAAGCAAGCAACAATAGGCCATATTTTAAGGTGTATTTTATTTGCTGTACACTTTACCACCACAGTAAGCTTTTTGCTTTTGGCACACCAAGGATTAGTGCACTCAAATAAAATGTCTAAAAACACCCTAATAGTAAGATGTGGCACCAGTTTTCAGGCCCTACCAGGGATTTCTGTACGCCAGCTACAAGCATCTTTCATGAGGTGCCTGTGACATTAAAATGGTGCTTTTTTTTTTTTTTTTTTTTTTTTTTTAGGAGCATAGAATACCCCACAATTACATTTTATTTAATATGATCCATTGCAGTAGGGCAGATCACTGATAGCCACCATTCAAGAAATTCTTTGGGGTTAATCAAAAAACAGTCTTTAGGAGAACTGAGCCTGGGTGACTGCCTACACATTGAAAATGTAGAACATTTCTCAAAGGATATAAAATGCAATTTGAGGATAGCCTATAAGATGATAATCATTTCACACAAATAAGAAATTGGAAAACTCACTGTGAAAGAGTATTGACATGTGTGCCATGGAAATAAAGAGGCTACTATCATCGGGGTGAGGGAAATCAACTAAAGAAAAAGCAAAGTACAATTATATGTGCATGAAAATGTCATTAGGAAAGCCATTACTTTGTACACTAACAGATACTAATTAGTGAGTATTTTAAAAAACAAAAAGAAAACACTTTGGCATTCATATTTAGGAATACACAAACCTGGCAACTAGGTCTGCGTAGTGGCTACACTCAAAAACTGGTTGGGAAATGAACAAAAATGATTGTGTGTACAAAGAGCTACAACTTCTGAGATGAGACAGCCATTAAACCATTAAAAAAAATTCTAAGTGCTTTATTCTCCCTAAGCTACCTGGAACTGTCAATTCAGTCTTCATGCATAAGAGATGTATATGGTGTTAGAGAAGGAAGGGAGCTCTAAGTTCTTAACAGGTGCTAGGCTAAATTACTAGGAACATTATGAAGATATTTTATTTAAACCTTGCAATAACTCAATAAATAGGTGGAATTCTCCCAGTGTT